GTATACATTTTCCTTGAATTTTAATTATTATCATTTTAATGTTCATATATAATCTGTAATAATGTCCTTTCTTGCATTTCATAATATTAGTATTTATATCCTTCTTTTTCTTTTTAATAGTCGATATTATTTATCTTTTCAATAGACCAGTTTTCAATTTCACCCATTCTTCTCTTTCTCTTTTTTGCTCTCTTTATCTTTGTATGTGTATGTATATATACATTTGTAATATATATGTATACATACATACTTAATTGATCTGCTCTCATATTTATAATTGTTTATTTCTTTTACTCTGGGTTAATTTACTTTTTAAATTTTTAGGTAGTGTATAAACTCATTGATTTGAGAACTTTCTTTATTTCTAATATAGGAGTTCCATTCTATAAATATCCCCTGCTAGTTTTTAATCTTTATTTATTCAAAATACATTTTAATTTTTCTTTTTATAACCTCTTTGACCAAGGAATAGATTATAAGTACTAATTTAATTTCCAAATATCAGTAGCTTTTTAAGAGATACTCATCCTATTTCTAATTCCACCCCATTATGGTTAGATAAACACGTTTTATATTAATTTAGTAACTTTAAAATTTATCAGGATTCACTTTATATCTATCTTATCACATGAAATGTTCCAAAGATATAGGGATCTGCTTATTTCTATTTCTGGGTATGCTGTTACTTTTTATGATTATTTTATCTGCCAAAAATAAAAATAACTACAAGAAAAGAAAACAAACCAATTGAGAAAATACACAAATATCAATAACATTTGAACATCATAATTTATGCCTATTTTCATTATGTACCATCTAAGTTTCTCACATTCCCTTACAACTTTTACAATATTACTTATACTACAGTCCACTTTATAGTCACTCCCATCAATCTTTATTTCTAGATATGTCTGTATTCAAATTATCAAGTACTTTTATACAATCAATGTTGAATAGTTCAAAATAAATAAAACACCAAACCTCTCCTTAATGTGAAACCCTAAGAATGAAGCCTGCCCAATGAAGTTATTATAACAATGCAATTTGGTAAGGGAAAAAAAAGGAGAAAGGCACATACATAGGAGCATTGGGAGAGAACTGAAAAGGTCACCACATTGAACCAATTCTGAGAGTCTTCTTTTGCTGTCAAATAACATTCATCTGGACCTCTGATTAATATATGAAAATAATTTTTAATAATCCTCATATAGTTGTTCATGACTAATCTTGGTAAGGTAGCTCCTGACAAATTAGCACTTTTAAAACTGGGATACTTTCCTACGGAATTGTTATTTGCATTAGGAAAATAGTATACACTTCATCTTTAGTTTCTTATAGCTTTCAATATAGCAAATTCATAAACTTTAGAACTATTTATCACCAAGAACATGACAGAATTTGAGACATGGAAACGTTGACACAAGCAAAAATTAGAGTGGAATAAATATTTCTTTAAGAATCAGTTTTCAATATTTATCACTTGGATTGAACAAAAAGGGACCAGCACCAAAGCAGTATTCAAGGTAAACCTTCTTACAACAAGTTTATTATTATTCCCAAGTACCCATCCATAGATTGCATTACTAGATACAACCTCAGAAGAGAACCCATATTTCTATTCCACTAAAAAATTGGCTAAGTTCTTTGGATAAAGGAGTCATATCAAGGATTTTGTGACACATGTGTTTTAGCAGTTTTCTCCAAACCAAAAGCATCATTAGTATAAACTTACACTTCAATCTCGATTCCATCACAACCACTTTGCAACTATCTCTCAATCTTATTATCTTTTCTTGTTCAGTAAGCAAATAAAAAAATGACTTTACCACCCCATAGGCTGCCTACAGGTTATATTGGATTTGTCTTCATACAAATAGTATTCTTAGAAACTATTGACATAAGATGATATTGGAATATTGTGTGAAAAGGGACTTGAACCTGCCATATTTACTGGGAATGCTTTGATCTGTGGGCTCAACCCAGAACTGGGAAGCCATGGTTTTAACATGACTCTAACCATATTCAGAGCACACTGATAACCTGATGTTCTCTGTGTCATGTGAGCTAGCACTCTCTCCATTTCTCTCTCTCCCTCTCTCTCTCTCTCTCTCTCTCTCTCACACACACACACACACACACACACCCCACTGGGCTATCATCTGAATAAGCCATAAAAAGTTTATATAGTTGTTGATATTAAAATAAGATATGAGTTCCAGTAGCTATTGGAAGTTTCAAGGAGATGACAGTAATGTCTGTTTTATATACTGCGCAGCACACTTTCATAAAGCTAAGCAAACATTATACTAGATTAAAATTTTTTTGTGTCCTATATAATTGATTGACTACTCAACCTGGGACCTTCATTTGTGGCCTTATATTCAATTTCTTATTTGTTCTTAAGCATACATTACTAGCACTAAAGACAAGGAAAAAAAAACTTTATATGTCAAGTATGAATCTGTTCAAATTGTCTGAAAGGAAAAACTAGTAATATTACAATCTTAAAAATTCCTATTATAGGGCTGGGGTTGTGGTTCAGCCGTAGAGTGCTTGCCTAGCATGTGTGAGGCCCTAGGTTCAATCCTCAGCACCATATAAAAATAAGTAAAATAAAGGTATTGTGTCCAACTACAATTTAAAAAGAAATTTTTTTTAGAGAGAGAATTTTTAACATTTATTTTTCAGTTCTCGGCAGACACAACATCTTTGTTGGTATGTGGTGATGAGGATCGAACCCGGGCCGCACGCATGCCAGGCGAGCGTGCTACCGCTTGAGCCACATCCCCAGCCCCCAATTTTAAAAAATTTTAAAAATTCCTATTATAATGTTAAAATTTAGAAAGCATTTCAGAGGATTAACCTAATAAATTTTTCTAAATTCATACAATGAAAGCTATCCTGATTAATTTCTTTGTGTTAACTCTGCTTTGTCATTGTACTCAATTTTGCACTTTTGTTGTCTTTATTATTATTTATTATTTATAAATGCATATTATGATAAATAAAGAAAAAACTATCCAGGGAATGGTTCTTTCAGAACTTATTTTGTTTTGCAATTAGCTGTATCAAACTAATTGGAAATTAAAGACTGCCTTAGTATGACTGTCAGTGATAAGTACTACTGTAACGGCATTTATTTTCAAAAGCATTGTCAGTTTCAATTATTTAATTCCAATTTATTTTAGTAGTGTTAACCTTAAGCAAGTATTACTTAAGTAAATATCTTAAATAATAAAATATTATTTGAGTATTCTATCTAACTGTTCCATTTATAAAACATAAATAACTTTGTCTCAATATTACATTACTGAAGTATGGTAAGCTGAATGTTGGGTGGTGATTTGACTATGGCTTACTAAAGAAAACCTTTCAAGCATTACTCTTTCTAGAAATAATTTATAGAAACAGAAGCATGAGTGCATTAAGCCTTGTGTATACTGGTTGTAAATGTATTATATCTTGTGGTAGTAAGAAAGTGTTAACAACCTTTACTCTGGAAATAAGGAATTAAAGAAAATGTGGTGTACTTTAGATCTACTGAGGACCGTGACATATCTATTGTGTTTGACATAGAGATGTAAGGACGGGTGTGACCTCTGGATATTATGCAATACATATTGCTACCAAAATATATATCAAATCAGAATCTTCTTTATGATGAAATAAATTGATTGTTAGATAAGTCAAAACATAAAGATAGATGGACTTATAGATATTTAAATTAATATAGAAAATTTGTTTCCTAAGATGCAGCAAATAAATATTTTACCTCTGAAAAGCAGAGAGTGTCAAAATATGTCATAAATCATGTAATATTCTGATTATCTTTAGAATTTCTTAAAATAACATAATGGCAGTAATTAATGGCTAGAGCTTTTTGATCTTAGAATTAAAAAAGAAAAATTAAGGAAGTAGGATTAAAAGTTGATCCACATTGTTTAGTTTAAGTGGGTCAAGAACTCAAATGATGAAAAGGAATTGAAAATTGCAGCAGTTTATTGTTCTGACTGTTGGCTTTATATTTCACCTGATTTATCAATATTACTCAAATCTTTTCAACTGTACAATGCATGTGGGCCTTTAGTGCCTTAAGAGTAATTAATATCTTTGCATGTGGTATAGAAATAATTGCACTATGATTTTCACAACAGAGAAAAACATGTAAGTAAAAGACTTTAAGCATATGCAAGAAAAATAAACAAATGTGTTAAAAAATACATAAATAAATATTCCACAAGATTTTCTTAAAGTGCTTGAATTAAAGAGAGGACACTTTTGATCTGTCATTAAGCACAAAGTAACACACAATTTACTGGACAATAATCCTAAGAAATATATGAACCAATATTTGGATTAGTTTGATGAGATACCTTTTTATCTTTCTAAATTGTACAGTTCAATAGATTTGTACCATCCAAACACAGCAAGTCATCAATTCAATGATCAAGATATATTTCAAAAATTCCAGAAGCCATCCAATTCTTATTTCTATTACTATCTTATAATGTCATAGAATGAGAGAACAAAGTTTCATAAATAACTTTCTGATTTGCAAAAATATGAAAAAAATAACTTAAGTCAATCCTCAGTTATTAAATTGAAACAGAAATATATTGTTTATGACTATATATATATATATAACCACAAAGAACTTATGAACCATGGATTCTGTATTCTGAAACTCTAATAATTAAACAAATGAGGAAATTCTGATAAATATTTTGCCACAGCTATATTTTAATATAATGATTTTTGAGCCAACATGAAATTGCTAAAACAATTATCTTAAATCCTACTTTTTTCCATAAAAGCAGGAAGGAATGAAAATAGTAAGAACTCAATAATGCAGGTAATCTGAGTTAGTGTGTCACTGAGGAAAATGACATGTCTTAAAAATATTCTCAAATAAGATTCTGAAAAGATAAGCACAGAGACCTCAAAATTTGGCCATAACACACAATAAATGAATTTCAAAGGATATTGGTCTAGTTACTCACCCCTATTTCTGAAGTGGAAGATCCGATTCTAGCTCTTCTATCTCATGAGACTTGATAGAAAAAAGCAAAGACATAGTTTTAGAAAATATTGAATAGTAAAAATATCAAGGCACTAAAATAGTTTCTATGGTCATTATTTAATATGGTCAGACAGTGTTCCTTTCTTTTAGCAATACCGGTGGAATTTCCAGTACATATCACAGTTGCATGACTCTTAATTCAGTCTTCTTAATAATCTCCTCATTTGCTGCTCAAGAACATACTTTCTCTATATAAATATGCTCCAATTCAGTGTAAGAAAATGAAGCAAGTTTTGAGTCACTTAACATTTAAAAGATGCACATTGCCTTAGAGAATAAGATGCTATTACCTGCTATGAGAGAAAGAAAAGACATGCTCACAGTGGCATTCTATTGTCACCGAAGTGTTACCAATTAAAGCCAGGTTTGGAGAGTCTTATTTGTCCTATTAAAGGGTCACATATCTGGACCTCAGATTGCTATCTGGAAAGAGTCCCTCAGCATCCTCAGACAATTGTTCTCTTCATCAATCCAGACAAGCACCCTTCTAACAAGTAAGCATTTCCATAGCCAGGCTTATTTTGTACAGATTTATGTACTGTGTTATGCATGAAAAGCAGTAAACATACAGTACACATTTTGTTTAGTATCTGAATAATGAAGCTTGCATGTGAAACAAATGATCTTGGATCACTCTAATAAAATTAGACAACCTGTTAGGAAATTTTAAAAAACCTTAAGTCAACTAAATTTAAAGAGATAAATTAGACATCAGAATAATATATTGTATGATTATAGTACAAGTAAGGTTAGAAACATCAAAGTTCTGAATGTGATAGATAAAGATAAAAAAATCAATGTTTACCACACTTAAATTTCATAATGAAATTATTTTCACCAAACAAAACGGTAAAAAAGTCAGTAACTAAAAATTATCAAAGGAATAATTATCTTTTGAAGTTACTTCAAAAGAGATTTTTAGGAAAGATGGTGGACTGAGATGGACATCATTACCCTGAGTACATGTATGAAGACATGAATGGTGTGACTCTACTTTGTGTACAATCAGAGACATGAAAATTTGTGCTCTATATGTATACTATGAATTGAGATGCATTTTGCTGTCATGTATAACAAATTAAAATAAATAAATAAAAATTTAAAAAGGAATTTTTTAAAAGAAAAGGAACAATGATGAAGTTTCACCATCCATTAAGGGTATTCATGAGAAAAAATATGTCTATCATAAAAATAATCTCCTTTGAGCCTCTGAACTCATAAACCTTGAAGTTCTGACATCATTGACCACTGAATACACAGAATTTTAAAAGCATGAAAGTAGCTGCTCACCTCTTTTCTCTGAAGTCAATAACTTGTTCTAGCTTTGACCTATAGCAAAATTCAAAGAAAATAAATCAGATCAGAAAAGTACCACATCAATTAAAAATTAAAATTGAAGCACAATGTTGGTTCTATTATAATTATTTATGTATCATACAGGAATCCCAGCATTTCTAGTCTTTGCCACAAACTCACAGTTGCTTAACTTTTTGTCACATTTGTCATTTCATTATTCACTTGTTTCCTCCCTAAATTATTTATTCTAAAAATAGCTAATACTCTCTGCGAAGTTATTCAATAAGTGACAAAGCTGTTGTTTCTTAAATAAGAAATTCTAAATTTGTATTCAAATATTTTATGAAACTATCCTACGATATAGGAAGGAAGGAAGAAAGGAAAGGAGGAAGGAAGGAAAGATGGAAGGAAGGAAGGATAGGAGAAAGGAAGGAAAGACAGAAGGAAGGAAGGAAGAATGGTGGTGGGTACCTGATAGTGGTATTATAGGATCATCAAAGAGCTAGTTCTGAAAGTGTTATTTGTCCTTTTAGAGAGTCATTCAGCTGGAACTTAATGTCCTCAGATATTTGTGCTTATCATCAATCCAGACCAATTTACTACCAATAAATAAGCATTCCTCATACCATACTAATACTCCTATTGGTTTATCCTCAGCATGCAGAGTATTTCTATAAATAATCCAATAAGTGAGACAACACTTGTCTCTTTAATAGGAAATTCTAAACCTATATTCAACCAGTAAAGATTTTATGAAAATACCCTGAGATGTAAAAAAAAAAAATTATAAGAGAATAGGTGGACATTTGACTTGACTTTTGGGTAGATAACTATAATGGCAACTCTAGAAGTTTCTCAGGTCCCTTTTGTCTAGACTAATACATAAATTTATACTGCAATGGGACAGTTATCAATACTGATATATTTACTTAATATATTAGAAACAAAGAATCACAAGTTAACTATGAACTTGGGTTATATCATTTAGAAGATTATTAAAGCATGTTACAATATACCTGATAGCAGTACAAAATGATACTTCTTTCATCTGATGGGTTTAAATCAATCCAGGGAAGTTTATGTTCTTACTAGGATCAAAGGATCATTACCCCACACCATTGTTTTATCTGACTAGGAGCAACTTTATTTCAACACAATCTACATTCAGGCCAACCAATTCTGTTTCATGAATTGTTGCCTTTATTAACCTGAAAATGCTCTCAAATATCTGATTTTTTTATGAAACTCTGTCCTCATTACTATAGTATAAAATATATGTCCTTCCAGAAGCTGTGTAAAATATTTAAAAAATAGAAGTAAATATATAGGGATACTACATATAAAATAATAACTACTACATCCATCAAAGGAATAATTATGAATAATTATTATTTGTTAAACAAAAATTCAAATTGTATTTAAAAAGTTGTTACAAATCAAAATCTATCAAGAGAGAAAAGTATATTAAGAGCCAAGATAACTTATGACATGAGTTATGCAGAAAGAATGTAGAACTCTTTCTTAAATACCCTGAGCATTTAGTGTAGACACCAAATTGGCCCTCCCTTTAGTGTAGGACTATGCTAATTCTAGACTAAAAAATAATGTAGATGTGTCCAACAAAACATGACATTGGGCTCTTTCATCTTTCCATGTCACCATTATGGAATGCTTTGATGTCTTGGCTGATACCGATAATACTCCTAAGAGAGGAAAACACCAGTTTCTTATTAGGCTGTGCTACAAAGTTATTGCCTGGTTTCTAACTGGGATGGTGAAGCATGGTTACATTAGTGAATTTGAAATCATTGATGCTCACAGAGATGGGGAAATTGTTGTGAACATCACAGATAGATGAAACAAGTATGGAGTAATTGGTCATAGATTTTATGTGCAACTAAATGATCTAGAAAAATGGCAAAAGAATCTGTTCTCATCCCATCAGTTTGGTTTCTTTGTACTAATGACCTCAGCTGGCATAATTGGCCACAAAGATGTAGGAGGGAAAATCCTGGGTTTCTTTTTGTAGGAATGTAATTCAAATAAAATTCCTCAATGGAAAAAAGCAAGATTTTTGAAAAGTCAAAAATAATGGAGGGGTATAGTAATAATTCTAGCAAAATGTCTGCTCCAAATGTTACCAAATAGTTTTTACAGTGTTATGGACTGTATGTAAGGTATCTTCCAAAAGTACATGTATGAAACAATGCAAGAAAGTTTAGAGGTGAAATGACTGGGTTATGAGAATCTTAACACAATCAGTGAATTAATCCTGTGACAGGGAATAACTGGTTAATAACTGTAGGCAGATAAGCTGTGGCTAGAGGAGGTGGGTCCCTGGGGGTGTACCTTTGAGGTATATATTTTGTTCTTGTTGAATGGAGCTCTTTCTCTGCTTCCTGGTACCATGTTCCCAGCTGCTTTCCTTGGCCACACACTTCTGCCATGATGTTCTGCTTTATCTCAGGCCCTGAGGAAGGTAGTCAGTCATCTACGGACTGAGACCTCTGAACCTTGAGTCCTTACATAGTCTTTTCCTCCTTTAAATGTTCTTGTTAGGTTTTTTTGGTCACAGCTGCAAAACAGCTGACTAAAACACACAGGTACAAAACTTTTTGCAAAGGTATATCTCAACATTACTTAAAGACAGAACGTACAAGAATTTAAAAGTAACTGAGTAAAAAGAAATAAAGCAACAGACCCAAATGCCATGTCCACACACCCAATAGAAGTTGAAGAGCACTTTGAGGGACCTGCAGGATAGTGCAGTGACTCTAGAAATTAGTCTTCTCCACATATAAGCCATGGAAACCCTGCACATAAATGACTTGGACAGACTGAATCTCTGACTACTGGAAGGAGACTCTAAGTTATACTAGATGTTAACAGCCAGATGGCCCAGTGCAAGATTTAAAGAATCAGACTTAATTTAAAGAGGTAAGCATGATTTTAAAGGATACAATTTAGAGTCAGTCTTCTAAATGTATACTTCCAGGGGAGGAAAAATGCAAGGGGGAAATTATTCCCTTTGGGTATCATTTGGTAAAGGGGAAAAGATAAAAAGGGAGAAATTTTATATCCTGTAAAACAAAACAAAACAAAAATACCCACAAAATCAGGAACCATAACCCCTTCCCCTCTTCAAATAAATTAACTAAGCCCACTACAAAGACAAGGGCCACCTGGTTTATGCCATGAACGTCCTCAAGAAAATATGTCTTATCATTGAAACAAACCATTGAAACAAACCATCTACATACACTCATTCACTTTTTTCTGAGAATACCTACTATAATGGTATTGTTAAACCATGATTGAAGTTGACAGGAAAAAAGACAGGTACTTGGATGTGTCAGCTGTACTGGTGTCAACAAGCCAAAACTGGTCTTCATTACCTAAGGAAAGAAGAGCAAGATCAAGAGGAAAATATGTATGGCTCATGCATGCTATTTCTTAATGGAGATATTTGCTTTATACTGAAAAATTATCCACTATAGATGCTATAGAATAAAGGCTAAATATAAAATTGCTTGAATTTGGAGAACCTATAAAGTTGTTTAAGGCAGAAACAAGAACTTTAATTGATCAACCTTATTTACATATGAATGGAAGCTATATTAATAGTTATTGATTTTATCTATTGCTTGTAATTTATCATATAATGATCTTAGTGGAGCCACATAACACTCAGTTAAAAATATAGCTGACTACTCATAACTGCATTTCATTTTATGAATAAATTGAAATATATATTAGAATTCAAACATATAGCCATAATGTCATTGTCTTTATGTTCTGAGTCATTAATGAACCAGAAACATTTTCATCCTGACATACATTTGGGGTTAATACATTAACATCTATATTTAGATCAAATGAATATTAGACCTTTGAATTGTACTTATAATCATAAAACTTGTCAACTTTCTATCAGTGCAATTTCAGTGAAAAAATAATTTTTTTCTCAAGAATACTATCAAGCCTACAAGTTACTCACTGAGAAGAATAACCTATAATGGTAATTGTCTTGCCTCAACAAATAGCCATGATTATCCCAAGGGTCTTATGAACATTTGACTTTACTCATAGCACATACACATTTTCATTTTAATGAAAATACAGGAACTTGGGAGATAAAAATTAGGAACCAATGTGTTCATCAGTTTATCCAATTTCAATTTTTTTGAAGAAACATTAATGAAACTCATTTTCTTACCCTAGTTGCAAGGGTCTTCAGTGACAGGCAATCCATCAGTGATCAAAAAATATCCCAATACTGTTAAAATTCAGTACTAATATTTTTTTCTATTAGTGTATTGAGACCCCAGATAACTATAACACACTGAGCGTATTTTCAACATATGATATTTCCCAACCTTCAATAAAAGCAATTATAGATAAATGTAAGAATTTTCTCATGTTTCAATCATTGTGAAGATAATATACCCTATAAACCTTGATGTATCCTACAATGATATTATATACCCTATAATGATATACTGTCTAAATGAATAAATAATTATTATAGAGGTGAGTCTTCACTAATCCAATGGTCTAATTTGGAATTTTTAGCAAGCAAAGGTAGCCTTTCACCTCTGCTCAGTAGAATAGTGCCAGCAGGACTCACTGAAACATGAGATGAGAGAGAAAAAAGCCAATATCTTAGTGTCAAATATTCAAGAAAATTTGGAATTATAGAAAACTTGATCATAATTTGACTTGGAAGCATTTAGAAAAAATGTATTTAGAATGAAAATGAGTTTCACAGGAGACTTCATCATTGGAAACCCAAAATAAAATTCTCATGAAAAGAAACCAAAAATTCCAAAAGTCTTATCTCACAATTCTCACCTAAGCTGGGCCTCAGCATAATCCAACTGAGCCTGATTTTTGAGCCATCACTTTTGTTCAAGATAACATATCATCATTGAGCTGTCATGGCACTCATATATTTAGGTGTAATATACTTACCAGAAATGGATCTTTAAACACTGGTACTATAGTCAACCAGATGCCACATATTTACTGTCAGACACTTTGGTGGTACAAATTGCCCCATGAGCACAACAGTGTAAAAAATTCCTTCCTTAGTAGTCTTTTTCTAGGAGATAGGAATAAGAACATAGTCAAAGGGAAGCATTACATCTCTTATGTATATACAGCACCTGACAGCTATTTCTAACTTTATAAGACTGATATATTTGATACTCCAAATATGAACTACTATAAAAGCTACAGAACATTGATTGACCACTTACAGTAAGGACAAAGCAAATAGGTTTCATGTGTTTTGTTCTTAGGTTTTCATGTCAAGGAATGATTTACCTACAGATGAAATATTACTTTCATCACTTGGTTACATATGCAAGTACCTATATTAGTAATTATATTAGTAATACTGGCATCATATATAACATATGTATACCTTTTATTGAATATAGTGAAACCACATAAGACTCAGAATGTGAAAATAGGACTTAAGACTAATCATTGCTTTCAATTTCAGTAAATGGTGGCTTATATACAGTATAGGTTAGGTATCTGTGGGTTTTGCATCCATAATTAAAATACCCATGGACTGTGTACTATGTAGTTAGGCCAACGATGGTTGCATCTGTATTGAAAATGTACCAACTCTTTTGATGTATTGTTATCATTCCCTAAGCAATATAGTATAATAACTATTTACATATAAAACTAAATTGTTATATAAGCATTTATATTGTATTAGGTACTATAAATGATTCAGAGATTATTTAAAATATACAGGAGGGTTGCATTATATGCAGATAGTATACCATTTTATATAAGGAGCTTGAGCATCTGCAGATTCTTGTGTCTACATGGGATCCTGGAATCAATTTCCTGTAGTTATGGAGGAATGACTGTGCCTCAGTCTCAAACAATTCTCTGAAATTGCAAAGTCTTTCAGTTGTGAATAGTGCTCAATGATCCAAAAACATTATAACACTATAGTAATCCACAGAATAGAATAAGAGAAACGGATTGTTAATTTGTGCATATAGAATCACTGAAGAGATAATTGCAATGAATTACAAAACATCCTATCTTATTATTTTGTGTATCACTGAAGGTCTCCTACCATTTCCATATGTATTCCCTTCTCTCTTCCTTTCTCTCCCCCCATTCGTCTTAGTTTACTGTTAGTCTTTTCCTCATGCTCTTCCTTCCTGTTCTATAATAAGAGGTTATGAGGGGCAAGGGGGTGGGGGGAAAAAAAGGGGAGAGAATTGAACAACAGCAGAGGAGGTAGAGAGGGATGTTGGGAGGGGAGGGGAGGGGAGGGGGGATAGTAGGGGATAGGAAAGGTAGCAGAATACAACAGTCACTAATATGCCATTATGTAAAAATGTGAGTATGTAACAGAAGTGAGTCTGTATTATGTATTTGGGGAGTTCAAAACCCAATTGAGTCGAATGTATGAAAGATGATATGTCTTGAGCTCTGTAATGTTTTGAACAACCAATAAAAAAAAAATCCTATCTTTAAATCAAAATCAAAGCATGTTTTGTTTAGGTGAAAAGAGTTTAATGAGTATTCATCAGTCACTCATTGGGAAGAACAGGTTATCATTCATTTTGCATAAATGAATGCATGGAATGTCTTCTTTTCTTTCTTTCATTCCTTTCTCCCTCCCCCCCTTTCTTTTTTAGAGATGGGGTCTTGTTATTCTGCCCAGAGTTCAAGTGATTCTCCTGCCTCAGTCTCCTGAGTAGCTAGGACTACAAGACTTGTGCCACAAGGCCTGACTATAATCATTTCAAAGGCCAGACTTCAATAGTCAAATAGTCTACCTGTTAATCTTTAACCACTATGGAAGAATTCATATCTAATGCATGTAATGGCATTTCTTTTCTGGTTGAACATTCTGAAGCACACAAGGAGGAAAAATAAGCTAAAATATCCAATTTATGAGAAATAAAGATATGAAGATCAGAATAAAGGAATATGAATATTCTCTATGAAACAAAGAGAGGCAGGTAAAACAAGATAACACTTCAAAGTTTCTTCATTCTTATCCTGAAATGAATACCCCTCTGCAAATCTAATTACTTCTTACACCTTGTTGCCAGGATTTTTGCCTATTTTGAGCCTTAGCATAGTCCCATTGAGCATGATTTTTACATTATCATGTCTCCTTAAGATATTCTCTACACATATATCCACTTTGCTTTGTAAACACCTACCAGAATGGCATCCTGAAACCATGGTTCAAAGGGACAGGAGACTCATTAGATTCACTGCAGCATACCTGAGTGGCAGGAGTTGACAAAGCAGGTTCTTACTCAGTAGTCCTTATCTAGGAGGACAAGAATGGGTAAACAGCAATAGGACTGAAAATTTCAGTGAGAAGTGAAGATACCATCAACCACGCCAATTAAGCATTGAGGAGAACCAATAATGAACTCATGAATTGGAGATCTGGTCAGCATCATTTTCATATTAGAAACAACTGTCATCATTTTTAACATGTTCCTTCATTATTCTGAAAATAATAATGTCTCATGATACTCAGGAGCTGAAAATTTGGCATTGTTTTGGTCATCAAATTATTAAATTTTAGTTTCATAGGCATACTGGATCTCCTCCATTACCATAGTCCTACATTCATGGGGAATTTATCAGTGATCTCATGTCCAAAGCATAACATTTCATACTTGGCCCTCAAAAGTTCATGTCAACCACACAATGCAAAATGCATTTACTTCATCTCCAAGAATCCCATAGTCTTAACAGTTCAAAAATCCAAATCCAAGGTCTTCGCCTCTGAGACTCAATGCAAATTCTTGACTGTGAGCTCTTGTAATACAACTTATAACTGTAAGATATATATTCAATATACACTGGCACAGAGTAAACATTCCAATTTCAATAGGAGGAATAAGGACATGGAAAGAAGGGATGGGGTCCAACCAAGACTGAAACCCAGCCAGGCAAAAAGGTAGTGCAACTCCACCTAAAGCCTCTAGGACACATAGCTGTGAGATGTGCTCTCTAAAGAACTCCAGCAGAGCAAGGGCTCCTGGCTGTTTTGACATTGCTAATTACAGCATGCACATAGACTCTCTTTTAGCCTGGCTTCCTCCACAGTCAGAAGCTTTCCTTAGCAGATGGTCTGTCCTTGTTACTGGCATCTCTTAATTCCTGGGTATCCATTCAAACTTTGACTTTATAGCTTCACCCATCACTTTCTCCCCTGCAGCCTGCAGGGACTCTGATCCTGTTACACTTTGCCTGGCCTTACAAGACTTCCTTTGAAATATCAATGGTAGCTCCCACAACACCTTAATTCCAGCATTCTGCACACCTGAAGAACCAAAACCATGTGGATTATGCCAAAGTCTACTGCCGACTCATGCAATATCTGGGCCACCTAGAATCACAGCCACAGTAGCTTCTTGGTGCCTGGGCAGCTCAATATACTGGATGAAAAACTTTCTAGGCCCCTTGGTAAAAGCAGGGCACTTCCATAATCTATTCTCCTAGGAATTTTTCTTTCAAGACTCTTGAACCTGCAATAGATATGGTCTTACAAATTACTGAGATGCTGTCAAGGCATCTTCCTATTTTCTCTGTGTAAAGTAATTAGCAAATATTTATTGGCTGTGATCACTTTAACAACCACATCTTCCTTGGCCTCAGTTTTGTACAAACTTTTCTAGCTAAACTCAAGTTTTTACAATCTTGCATTTCTATGTTCTGCCCTGGAAACTCACAGTAAACCTGGTTAAAATGTTGTCAGTAACATAAAGTAATTTGTTCATCATCTTTAAATTCAGGCTCAAACAACATCTCAAGACACGGGTAAACTATAGGTAAGTTTTTTTTTTTTTGCCAGATATAACATGAATGGCCTTTATTTAGTCCCAACCAAGTTTCCCTTTCCTGATGAAACCTTATGAACACAGGTAACATTTCTATCAGAATTCTGGTATTCTGAGCCAAAATGAGTCACCTTTTAGGCTATTCATAAAATGTATGAGACCTTCTACAGGCTTTATCTCCAAACCTTTTAAATTCCTCTGCAAACTGACTCCAAAGGATTGTGAACTGTATGGTCAGGTTAGTTACAACAGGGACCCAACTTCTTGGTACCAATTTTTGTATTAATCAGATTTGGGTCACTGTAAAAAAAAAAAAAACCTGTCAAGAGCAACATAGAGGAGGGAAATTTTTAGTACTCACAGTTCAGATAATCACTCCAAGGATAAAACAGTCCATTAAATGTAGTTACAGGTAAGGAAGAATTTGACTGTAGAAGGGCAAGCTGGATGAGTAAACATCCATTATGGCAGCCAGGCATCAAGGAGAGAAGGAAAAAGAAAAAGATATATAAGGAAGATGAGCACTTACAGGGAAGACAACTAATAATCTACTTCTTGTAGGAACATTTCAATTAGGTACAGTTACAATCCAATCAAACCATTAAGACTAGGAAGAACTGGGGCTGGGGTTGTGATTCGGAGGCAGAGCACTCACCTAGCATGAATGAGGTACTGGGTTCAATCCTCAGCACCATATAAAAATAAAATAAGGATATTGTGTCCCCCTATAGCAAAAAAATAAATATTTTGGGGCTGGGGCTAGAGCTCAGTGATAGAGCACTTGCCTTGCACGTGTGAGGCTCTGGGTTCGATCCCCAGCACCACACAAAAATAAATAAAAGTGAAGATATTGTGTTCATATACAATTTTAAAAAATTTAAAATATATTATTTAAAAAAGACTAGAAAGAACTGATGACTTTATGTCACTCAAATATAAAACAAAAGACCTCCAAATATTCCACCATTAAAAAAGAGATATTGGGAGACACATCCTACACAAAGTATGACAGTAAGAATGCACATATAAAGGGGAAAAAAACCAATAACAACACAACACATGCACAGAAAGAAAGACAGGAAAAACCTTGACAAAAGATCTAACTTGAACTTCAAATAAGAGATCAAAGAGGGCAATTGGCTGCAGCTGAACACTTAACAATTGCTGCTGGGCTCATGTTTCCATGCTATCAGCAAAAGTACTCAAGGCACATGACCACAGCCAAACACCCACATGTGCCTCTGTACTACAACCCATGGAATCTCTCTAAACCTCCTCCTGTACCCATAAATTGAATACAGACCATGCCCTTTACCCCACCCCTCATCATCCCTGCCCATTATCATGCATGCCCCCCCTGGATGCCTGGCACTCCAGAATTTGCCCAGTCCCTCTGATCAGGGGTAAGTTCATTCATGCCTTTATCCTCCCAGCCCCCAGGGACAGATGCCCCATAGGCACATACTGCTGCCATGAAACTAGTGGCAGTGACCTGTAGCCAACAAGTCCCTCCTCTGGCCCAGTGACTGCAGTTGCCTGATTGGGAACATACTTGTCCATCCCTTCACATCAACATCTATGATTAGCCTCTGCCCCATCACCATGAAGGGTCAAGAAGAGAAAGTGACCTTTAGCAGGGAAATCCCCAAATGGCAACCCTCCTGGACAAGGCATCTCAGGGTAGCCAGTGGCCATGGTAAAGGCCTCCACCAATTTTGACCCAGGCTTCACACTTCATTCCTCCTAGCAGCAGCAATATAGCCCCATGACCCTGGCCATCTGCTCACCTGTGCCTGGCCTGTCAGAGGCATCCATCTGCTTTGCTTCTGTCACTGGAAGGGAAAAGGAGGACAAAGGAGCTGAGCAAAAGCTTGGCTCTGGAACTTGTCATGTGCCCAGAGTAGCCAGTGCCCACATTCTGAGTATGGAGTTTTGGGGCCTGACTGAGAAGCACTTCCAAAGGCTTGGGCCTCCTGGGATGCCTGGTGGGGCCTTCAGGTGTATGGCCCCCATTGTGACCACTCTCTTTAAGAGGGACATAGGAATACCCAGATCCTTCTCCACCAATGTCCCCTAGCCTGGGCTTCATCATAATCCTATTGAGCATGATTTTTATGTCTTCATCTCTTTTCAAGACAATAAAGTTATAATCATCAACCCAAACCTAGATGGTCCTCTCCCCATACATCCTCTCACTGGCACTGGCACCTGGATTGGCTTACCAAGATGGATACGCCAGGTCAGTGCGCTAAGGGGCCTTGAGGATTGGCAAAGTCAGGGCTAGGCTGCTGCCAGGAGGATCAAGGCGTTATTTCTGTCGGGAGCATGACCTGGATGGAAAGAGGAAAACAGCTGAGGAGGGGGAAGGATGCCAGCCTTGGGGCAGGCTCACACAGTCATTTCCTATATGGACCCCAGTGTTCCATCCCCAAAGGTGACCCCTATCTGCAGCTGTGACCACCAGTCCTGTAAGCCCCCTGCAAGTGCACTTGTGGGTCTCTGGGAACAAGGGGCAGGATGAGATGCCTATGACCCCATGGATTCAGCATTCCACTGCCCCCTCCTGTATCAAGGAGTCCCAGCAGGGTCTGATAGCTAGACTAGGCTCTGGGCCCAAGGCACACTTACCATCAAGCTGCCCTTACAGGAGTCTTTGTGCATTGGCCAGCATGTGGGAGAATCACGCATCCTTCCCTTGAGTGCATGGGTCCAAAAAGACACCTCTTCTGCCACAGTCCCAAGAACACTGAACTGCATAACCTGGAGCCACTTCCTTCCTTGGTACAGCCCCACAGTGTGTTGCTCCCTGGCCCCAGGCCCAGACCCTATGTCAATGGAAGCCCACCAGGAAGCTAAACCCTTCCCCTGGGCCCCATTCTTTCAGTCTGGAGTTGAGCTTGGGTTTCCAAAGAACAACAGTCCCTTTTTCTGGGAGACTTTTGACCACACACCTTCCTGGGGTACCCTTAGAATAATGCCCTGGCACCCAGAAATGCCAGTGATAAGGCTCTAAACAAAGGCAGGCTTGAAAGAAGACATGGAGAGGATACAGGAGTCCAAGCTAGGTCCCCTGCATGTTCAGCAGTCCCTGAGCCCCCTCATCATCCTTGACTGCTACCATGCTGTGCTTCCTGGATGCCCTGGCACTCTAGAAGTTTCCCAGTCCTTCCCATCAGCAGGAAGCCCATTCATGCCCTTCATCCTCCCAAACCCCGGGGGCCTGATGCCCCATAGGCACACAGCATTGCCATGAAGCCAATGGAACCCTGTAGCCAACTAGTCCCTCCTCTGGCCCAGGAATAATGGAGACCTGGGTTCCAGGGAGCTCTGCCCTTTACTTCAACTTCTCTGATGAGCATCTATCCTGTCACTGTTGCTCCTCAAGAAAGGAAGGTGACCTGGAGCAAGGAGATCCCCAAATGGCTTCCTTCCTGAACAAAGGATCTCAGGGTTGTCTTCACCTTGGCTTGAGGCCTCCACCTTTGCCTCCTGGCTTCACCCTTTGCTCTCCCCTGCAGTAGTGATTCAGACCCATAATCCCAGTCATCTGCTCAACTTTGCCTGTGGAGGAAGAGGGGCCAGCCTCCTCTGCTGGTCTCCTTGGAAAGCAAAAGGAGGGCAAAGGAGCTGAGCCAGAGGTAGCCCTGGAACTTTCTTGTGGGAAGAGTAGCAAGTACCCTGAGCTTGGAACTTTTGTGCCTGATTGAGGAGCATCTCCACCAGTTTGGACCACCTGGGATTCCTGGTGGGACTTCCAGGTCTGTTGCCCCCAGTGTGGCTGCCCCTAGAGGGACATAGTGATGCTTGAGTTCTCTTGTTATTTTCTTTCAGCACATTACTTGAACCTGACTCTCTGTCTCATTCTATGGTTTTAAGCATTTGTCTTATTGAGGATAATTTTTCTTATGGTCTTATTTTCTTACTAAGAGTTTGTATATTTCTCATTGCTACACTACTTTTTGGCTATAAAATTAAGAATTAGTTATATTTGTTGATGTGTACCATGTTCCTACTTTTCACTTTAGTTCATATAAATTTAAAATTAGGGTTTGTTTTTTTTTTTGTGTGTGTAAGATGTAGAACTATCTTGTTTTTGTTTTTCTGTGCTGTGGATCAAACCCATATGCTAATAATGCATGCTAGGCCATCATCATACCCCTGAGCTACAAATTCAGCCTATAGGAGTACCATTTTTTACAAGTGAATATGATTTCTTTTAGCTGTGTTTGTTCTATGTATTTTCCCAATGGAGGGAGGTGATGAGGTAATCTAAAAAGTGACCTAATTTGGATGCTGGTTTTCACCAGCATACCAGAGCATGTAACTTTTGCACAGTTGGAGCCTTTTCTGGTGTTGTTTGACTCTTATGCCCTCATTGCCATACCATGTGTCATAGCATAATCTGATACAGGAGATATAAACTTTTGAGAAGGTGCATTGAAAGGAATCTGTATCATATAAGTATGAATTTGGGGCAGATCTTTATTGGGAAAAGAAATGGGATATGGAGTGTTTCACCTTCAGGTGTAAGATACAACTTGGATTGAGAGAGAAGGCATAGGTGTGAACAAAGAATGGCTCAGTCTTTCAGGAAAAAATGATAATTCCTTTAAGGAGTCACTACCTCTTTTTAAAACAATATAAGTTAACATCATCTACTCAGCCCAAGGTTCCTCCTTTATCCACATGCATTCTCTTTGACCTGGACATGCTTATCTTTGGTTATTCAAAAGTCATGTTTCTTCTTTTATTTTGGTACTGGAGTTTGAGTTTGAACCCAGGGTACTTTGCCACTGAGCTATATCCCTAGCACCCCCCCTTATGTTTTTTAAGAGAGAGAGAGAGAGAGAGAGAGAGAGAGAGAGAGAGAGAGAGAGAGAGAGAATATTTTTTACTATTTTTTAAAATTTTTTTCGGTGGACACAACATCTTTATTTTATTTTTATGTGGTGCTGAGAATTGAACCCAGCACCCCACGCATGCCAGGCGAGCACAGTACCGATTGAGCCATATCCCCAGCCCCCCAGCCCCTTTTTAAAAAAATTAATTTTGAGTCAAGGCCTCACTAAGTTGCCGAGACTGGCATTAAACTTGTGATCCTCCTGCTTCAGCCCTCCAAGTCACTGGGATTATAGGCATGGGCCTCCACACTGGCTACTATGTTTCCATTTATGTAATGAATTTCAGTGTATTCTTGTTTAAACATTCATCTCATATTGATTCCTCATTTCATAAGGTCAAAGCTGTTTTCTCCACTTTGAGCTTCTGTGCTAGTGTCAAATGTATGTCTACCCCTCATGAGGTATGAGTAGTTTAATGTTTTCCTTGATGGGTGGTATTTACTTTAAAAACGTCCTATTATGGAGGTTGTAGCCTAATATCAACCAATGCATAAGTGACACATAATACAGAGATCTTAATAGATTAGCATTTGTTCTTCACTTATAAGCATATATTTTGGTTTAGTCACACAAGTTTATCTCAGGTATTTTGTTTTCTCATGCCCCAAATAAAATCTAGAATAAAAAAAGGTGCCCAAATTCATATCTAACAACTTTCACTGAGGATAGTTGCCAACATGTTTCTATGGGCCATGATTTTTATGTGATTTTCTGCCTTTGAGATTGCATAAATTCTCAACATTGATTGAAGCAATGGCAGTCCCTCCTCATGTATACGTCTACACATTGCCTAAATATGCAGCAGAGATAGTTCGTGCATTCCTGGTGTTAAGGTGGGCTAGAGTTCATGCACATTCAGTTCAGAACATTTGGCTGCCTTTTATTGCAGAAGGCAAAAGTACTTTTCCCTCAGAGTCATTATCTAAGAGGACAGGAATAAGGAATAGGATATTTTTTAAGAGGGTGAATTATATTTGGGACAGGGGCTGGGAATAGAATCCAGCAGGCACTGACCCACATCCTTAGCGTTTTTTTCTAATGTTTCATTTTTGGTTTAAGACAAGGTCTCACTATGTTGCTTAGGGCCTCACTAAATTGCTGAGGCTGACCTCAAACTTGTGATCTTCCTGCCTCAGCTTTATGAATCACTGGTATTATAGGTATGCACCACCATGCCTGACTAAGAGTGAATTGTATGTTATTGAGTATATGATGTATGTGTACTTTTTATTAATTAAATGCAATGATCAGTGCTCAAAAACTGAGCCATTACCTATGCTATGGATCATTGATTCAACAAACACAATAAGTATAATACATATAGATGTGTTAACTTTAGATAATCAGTCAGTAGGTGTCACACTGAGATGTGATCATCTCATTGATCATCACTTGTCTATATTTTAAAAGAATCCATGTAAATAATAATTAGCAAGACACAGTACATTTGAACTCTCTTAAAATTATATTCCTGAAGCTGTAAAAGTAAGGATCTTGAAATGAGATATTAGGCCACTGGGGATTGGATTTGTTTAAGCATGTTGAACAATCCATATATAGAAAATTATAAACTGTAGCTAAAATGTTATTGTCTTTTATTGATGAATTTTCATCAATAACCTTCAAATACACAAAACCAGAGCAACACAAAAACACTGCAAATGGGTGTTATCTATGTTTACCAATGTTTACATACAATAATGCCACACCACATAGTTATCTATGTTTACCAATGTTTACATACAAATAATGCCACACCACACTATGTCACAGGTATGAGTCTGTGACTCAATATTGTTTCACAATGTTTCAATATTATTTCAATGAAATTTTAGGAAGATTGAAGTTTTTCTCATATGAGAGTTGTAAAGTAAGTCAATGACTCCTAAAGTAGTAAATAGCCTGAATTTTTTTATCCTGGTTTACTCAAAGGCCACATCAGAAAAAAATGGATACCATCCTTACCACACACTTTCATTATATTAAAATTAATGGAGTTATGTGGTATCCAAATCTGAAATTCATGCAATATTTTGCTCTTTAGTCTATTCAATTATGTCACAGGCAAACAAACCCCTGAATCTAAGATTTTCACCTTCACTAATAAGTCTTCCAGTTATTTTCATACTCATTAATAGGGTCTTTCAAAAGCCACATAACACCTTTATAAATTTGTAAAACTGTAATTGAAAAATTCTTCTAGTAGTAATGAAGATCAAAATGAGTATTAAATATGGTACTACGTACCAGGAAACCAAAGTTTTCCTGAATTAGTGGGTATGCGTGCGTGCTTGTGTGTGTGTGTGTGTGTGTGTGTGTGTGCACGTGCATGTCAGATATGAATCACAGTATCATACATGTAGTGTGGCATTCTTTAGATCTAAACAGTGGTAGACATAGTAATCCCCATTTAGAGTATTTCTGTGTTGCTCTGTTTTTGTGATGTTACTTATTGAATTTAATCCAGGGTTTTGAGTATGGTAGGCAAGTACTCTGCCACTGAGATACCTCCTTGACTCCCTGTTTTTTTTTTTTTTTTTGAGAGAAAGTCTCATTAAGTGACTGAGGCTGAGGCTGAGGCTGAATTAGAACCTGCAATCATCCTTTCTCAGCATCCTGAATAATTAGGATTATGGGCATGTACCCCCAAGCTCAGTTTTCCTCGGTTTTTAATCCTATCAAATTGAGGTACAAAGTGAAGATTCTGTCATAGGATCACACCAAGTAGGTCACTAATTAATTTCTAAAGACAACCTCACATTGATAGTAAAGTTCCTTGAATGAGTAAATATAATTGCCTTAAGGATGAATTTGCACTGGTCTTTTGAAATGTATTTGACTATATAGATAGCCACTAGCCTCTTTTCAGTGCAAGTGTTTTCCTCTTGGCTGCACATATTATTGAAAGACACAATGTAATAAAAGATCCCACAAAATGAGCCCTTAATATACTAAAATATATAAGAATTATTAATCACTGAAATAAATCTTAAGGAATGAGAATTTGTCATTCAGTTAGAAGTACATAGTGTTGGGAAACAAAGTTCCACACTAGAGTTTCACTTTCTTAAGCCTGATATCAAACTACCCCACAATAAATTCTGATTTCTGACCTTACAATTCTTATCAAGCCTGGGTCTCAGAATAGTTCAATTTAGCACATTTTTTAATGTAATTTTCTCTCTTCAAGACAATATAACATGCATATCACCAAACTAAACTCTTGCACTGTCCACACATTCATTTTGACTTGAATACATTTACCAGGCAGGTTTTATGAAGCTGTGTGATAAAATGCATTGGGGTTCTGGTGTGTTCTATGCTAATGTCATATAATTTGCCACAAAGCCAAAGGGCTCTTTTTCTTCTCTGTTTTTAATGAAAGTGGAGAGGAGTAAGACAAGTTTATAAACTAAACATTACTTTCCTTATATGGCTTATACAAGTTATGGCTCACATGTGCTTTTCCTTAATGAACAGATATGATCATTCTTGCATATGTGACCCATTATGGAGGCTGTGGAACAAGGATTCACTAAACACAAGGACAGACCATATAGGTTTCTTGATTTTTGGAGACACTTTCATGTGGTATCATGTAGACACAGAGCATCTTGTTGCTCATTCTTGGACTGTCTCTTCAAGAAGACATATCAGGGGCTGGGGTTGTGGCTCAGCAGTATAGTGCTTACCTAGCGCGTGCAAGGTCCTGGGTTCAATCCTCAGCACCACATAAAAGTAAACAAAATAAAGATACTGTGCCCAACTATAACTAAAAAAATATTTTTTAAAAAGAAGATATATAAGGAATATTTTCATGGTCCATTTCATATGGAATATTATATAAAATGACACTCTTGGAACCATATATGAATTCTGATGTTCTATGGCATAGCAGGGTGAATATAATTAATAATAAAGCCTATATATCTCAAAATATAAGAGAAGAATTTGACTGTACTCACCATAAAGAAATGACCAAAGTTTAAGGTAATAGATAAGCTAATTACCCTTAGTTGATCACTACTCAATAAATACATGAATCAAAACATTACACTGTATCTGATAAATATGCACAAACATTATCTTTCAATTAAAAAGAACAGGGAAGACTCCATAATGAGTTTGGTTTTGAAATAACTCCAATTTAAAGAAAATAAAACATTTAGTAGGTATTTTTTTAAAAGAATGTGGTTGGGACTTAATTCTCCTTGTAACAATAGATGCTTAGCATGTGTAAGGCCCTGGTTTTAATACCTGGCACCAAAAGTAGGAAGTGGATGTATAGATAAATAGATATATAGAGAGATGGAGAGTTAGATTATCTCCAGATCTAAAATTCAGTCAAACCACTTGGACTTATAATAATTTTCAGGCTTCTTGAGCAACCCATATAAAAGAATTTCCAAGTCATGACAGATATTCCATTGTTTTTATATTGTGACTCATTATCAATGATGACACATCATAAAACTAGAGCAAAATAAAAATATTATAGTAGGGATACATCAAATTATCTACTTCTATAATTATAATAAAATAAAATCACATATTTGGGACAATTACTATGACTCAGAAATATCTGAATATTATTTCAATTAACGTTCATGGAAAAGTGACATTTTTCTTATGAAGATGTCATCAAGTAGGGTAATAACTCATTAAGAAGATGAACTTAGGGCTAGGGATGTGGCTCAAGTGGTAACGCGCTCACCTGGCATGCACTGGGCGCTGGGTTCGATCCTCAGCACCACATTAAAAAATAAAATAAACATGTTGTGTCCACCAAAAACTGAAAAATAAATATTAAAAAATTCTCTCTCGCTTAAAAAAAGAAAAGAAAATGAATTTATATTTAACACTAGAATGATTTCTTCCTCCCTACTATGCCCCATAAATATGTACACATATTTGTGTCAATCACATTTTTTAGTTTAGAAGA